GGGGATGGGTTAGCCTGGTGATGGGTATTAAAGAGGGCACATTCTGCGTGGAGCACTGGGTGTTATGCACAAACAATGAATCATGGAACACTACAGAACTAATGATGTAATGTATGGTGATTAACGTAACAATAAAAAAATTAAAAAAAAAAGAAAGAAATAGACCTAGCTGTCAATCGATTTTTGACAAAAAGACCAGGCCAATTCAATGCAGAAAGGATAGTTTTCTCAGTAAATGATGCTGGTACAATTGGATATCCAGAGGCAAACAAACCACAAATCATATCTCACAGCACAAGCAAAAATTAACTGAAAATGTATTGTAGACGAAAATGTAGAATCTAACTCTATAAAACTTCTAACAGAAAATATTGGAGAAAATCTTTGTGCCTTCGAGGTAGGAAAAATACTCTTAGCAGGACACAAAAAACACAAATCATAAATGAAAAATCAGTACATTGGACTTCATCAGCATTAAAGTCTTCTACTCTTTAAAAAACACTATCAAGGGAAAGATAAAACAACTTACAGACTGGAAGACAACATTTTCAGATCACATCTCTGAGAAAGGACTTGTATCCAGAATATATAAAGAATTCTTACAACTCAATAATGATGGTAATAATAATCAATGATAAAAAATAGACAAAGATGTGGATTCATACTTTGCCAAAAAGAGGTATATAGGTGGTAAGTAAACAATGAAAGATGTTCAACATGGTTAGTTATTATGAAAATAGAATTAAAAGAATAATGAGATACTGTCACAAACTTATTAGAATGGCTTTGCCAAACCCTGCCAATATCAAGTCTTGACTAGGATGCAAAAATGATACAGCTATTTTGCAACACAGTGTGGCAGCTTTTATCAAGTTGGACACATACCACACAATCCAGCACTACCACTCTTAAGATTTTAGCCAAGGGAAATGAAGCATATGATCACACAAAATATATATGTACATGAGTGTTTATGGTGGCCTTTTCCATAATTGCCCCCAACTTGAAACCACTCAATTGTTCATCAGCTGGTGAATGGATAAAGTATGTGTGGTTCAGCTATGCAATGACATATATTCAGCAATAACAAGAAATTAATTACTCAGAAGTGTAACTTCATGTGTGCTGAATACATTTTGATAAGTGAAAGAAACGAAACTCAGGGCTACATACCATATGGTTCCGGGAAAAAGACATTCTAGAAAGGGCAGGAAGCTGTAGGAACAGAAGAGCAGTGGTCGCCAGGACCTGAGTTGGAGAGGAAGAGATTGGCTAACAGGGGCACGAGGGAACTTTTTTGGGGGCTGATAGAAGTGTTCTGTATTTTGCTTGTGGCAGTTGTTACAGAGATATATGAGTTTGTCAAAATTCATAGAAGTAGACACCCAGTGGGGTGAATTTTTGTGTATGTAAATGATATGCCAATAATCCTGGGTTTATAAAAAAGACTATAGAAGGGTACCTATAGAGTGATTTTCAGGTGGCCTCAGACCCTTCTTTTCTTGAGCCATTAGGTCAAGACTGGGCATTTGATTTCTAAGTGAAGGACTGTCTTATGTTTATCATTAACCACCATCTCCAAACACATTCCCTGTGCATATGGTAGATGCACAATACATAAGGGTAAAGTGAATAAAAACAAATCAGTGAGCTCTTGCAAGGAACCAAAGTAGACTCTGATAATCTGTGGGTCCCTGTGGGCTCTTTCAGCTTCTCCAGTTACTTCCCCCAGCACGACCCGACTTCCCGCCCCTGGGAATGACCCACCTCCCCAACCCCATCCCCGATTCACCATGGAGCCATTTCACACTTTGCCTTTGCCCATGCAAGTCCCTGTGCCTGGATCACCCTTCAAGGGCCCACACCTGTGGGGAAAGCACCCCCCCGGAACTCCAGCAAATGTCATGTCCTGTATTGTCCCATAGGTGTGTGCGTGCACAAAATAATGCCCATGTGAGCATGTGCACACAGGAGGCATCCAGCTGTGCAAGGGAGGGTAAATTTGGGCAGGAGATTGCAGGTGGAAGAGAAAATTCTCCCTCTCGTGGAGAGCCCATCTTCCCCTCCCCTGCTAACTAGGATAATAGTACTAGTTAGGCTCTATTCTAAGGCACTTTGCCTGTGGAAGTCCATGTTACCCTCCCAATAACTCTACACACTATTATTATTCCCATTTTATAGATGTAAGAACTGAGACACAGAGAGGTTATGGATGAGTGGTTGCACACACAGGAATTGAGGAAGGAGGGACTTCAAGTCCGATGCTGCCACACTACAGGGATGCTGGCCTGGAGGGAAGGACTAAGAGGGGCTGGTTGAGGGCCCAGCAGTTCCCTATCCCTTGCAAGGCTGGAACCAGAGTGTGGCAGGTGCTGTGAGTGGGTGAGTGGCAGGAGGAGGGTCTGAACACAGCAGTGAGGACTGTGCCTTGGACACTGACCAGCCCCAGCCATGCGGGGTCACTCTGGCCGGCAGGGGCAGTAGGGCGGGCTGGCCTCTCAGAGGTCGGGGATCCCCAGCCTCCGGCTGCTGGGAGGCAGTGGCTGGCTCCTCCTCTCCCTTCCTCCCCACCCCCCCAAAACCCCTCCCTAAATCATGAAGCCAGACCCCAGTTCTATTTCTCAATCCCCAGGAGCCCAGTTCCTGTGGGCAGCACTTGACGTGCCTGAACCCTCTCTTTTCTGCAATTCAAGGGAAAGACGAGATCTTGCACAAGGTACCCTGTGTTTGCCCTCCACCAGGGAAGGCAGGCATGGAGCTTCTCCGGCTGCTTATCCTGCTCGCCGTCACAGGTAGGACCCCGTCCCTCCGCTGCCCCTGCCATCTCTCCTTCCCCTCCTTGAGTATATGGCGGGCGGGTGGGTGGGGAGCCCTGGGCTGAACTATAAAGGTGGTTAAAATCCACAGCATGTTCTGCACCCCTCTTTTCCCCACCTGCCCCACATTCTTTATGCTCTCCCTCCCTCCCCAGTGTGAGAGCCCACTGTCAGACTCTTCATACAGGTGGAAGTATAAGGGGCTGGTGGATTCTGGCCACACGGAAAAGGAAGGAATTCTGATAGTGACATCTCAGGCACTAGCTAGCAGTTGGGGGAAGTTTTGAGGGCATGGATAAGAGCCCCTAAAATTATGAACCGCTAGCCCCAGAGGGATGGCAGTGTGGGAGGGAAGAAAGGGGGAAGAAACCCACAACCAAGCATGTGCATCTTCAGGGTGCCTCTTCTGCTGATGTGAGGGTCCTCTTGTCCTCTGCCCTGGAAGGGAGGTAAGGGGGCTGAAGATTTCTGTCACTGAGTTGGAGAGCTGACACCCCAGATTCTTGCACACAACTACCTCCTTTTATTGGAGGAAGGTGCCTCTTGTTCCTCTAGAGCAATAGGCAAGCCTGGTGAGAGGAGAGGCTGTTCCAGCGGAGCCCTGATCCTGAGGCTTCTTAGCTAGGAGTGGAGTGGGGGGAAGACAGGAGCTGCCTGGAGGCAGAGGGATGGACAGGGTGACAAGTGGAGGGAGCACTGCTTCCTAAAGGCAGGCCACTCACTCCCTGATTTTGTCTTCCAAGTTTCTGTCACCATATGGTTGAAGACGGGGTAAGGGAGGACCAAGAGAGGGAAAGTTGAGGCAGAGGGCTCCAGGTGATTCTTCTGCAGCTTCTGCCCTGGCAATAGATTGCACTCTAAGCCTGTCTCCCGTGCCCCAAGAAAGGTCCCCAAAATAGCAGCCTCATGTCTCCCCCAAAATAGCTCTGAGATGAGTCTCTCCTGAAAGGGGAACAAAGCCACAGAAATAGGGAAGCCGGGAGCCAAAGGTCAGAAGGAGAAGATGCAGAGCCAGTGTGGGCGTGGGCAGCTGCAAAGTAAGCATGAATGGCCAGGGCCGGGAGATGGTATCCAGCCCAGGCTGAGGGGCCACTGGCCCTGCTCGCTTGAGATGGAGAGGGTCCCATATGATAGGGAGAAAATGTGTAGAATAGAACTGGAGGGAACTTCAAGACTAATGTCTCTGGAAATAGGCCCAGAGACGGTCAGTTACTTCTTTAAAAATGCCCAGCAAGTCCAACGGTGTTAAAGCCAGACCTAGGACCTGGGTGTCACGGTGGGCTGTGCACCTTCTCCCAACTTACATAAGAACTTGAGCTCCTTAAGGGCAAGATTTCTATCTCTTTGGTCATTGCACACAGTGGGCATTCGAGAAACATTTGGTAAATGAACAAAGAGTGAAGGAAGGTCTCCTCCCCAGAGCTGTCCGGAGCCCACAACATGACGGTGTTCCAGGGCATGGCAGGCCAGTCCCTGCAGGTCTCCTGCCCCTACAACTCCTTGAAGCACTGGGGAAGACGCAAAGCCTGGTGCCGCCAGCTGGATGAAGGGGGCCCGTGCCAGCGGGTCGTTAGCACCCACCGCTCATGGATGCTGTCCTTCCTAACGAGGCGGAATGGGAGCACGGCCATTGTGGATGACGCCCTGGGTGGCACTCTCACCATCACGCTGCGGAATCTTCAAGCCCACGATGCTGGCCTCTACCAGTGCCAGAGTCTGTACGGGGATGAGGCCGACACCCTCAGGAAGGTCCTGGTGGAGGTGCTGGCTGGTGAGTGCGTGGCGGACTGCACCGCTGGCCCACCCCTGGGCTGGGACTAGGTCCCCGATGTCTGGGAACACCCACCGTGCGGCTCTTGCCCTCCCACTCAGGGCCACGGTGGATGGCTGTGTGGGTTGCTCACTGTACATGGGGGCACACTCCAGCCCTGGTGCCCCTCTCCAGGCTGCACTCCCTGGGGCAGGACCGCATCCCTGGCAGGAAGGGTCCTGGCCTCTAATTTGCACAAAGCACCGAATGAGCTGGCTGTGGTCCTGCCTCTCCAAACAGCTTTATCCATTTGGCATCCAGTTAGGATGTGAACACCTAAAGTGGCCCTTAAGGAGTAGGAGAGGTTCATTTGCTCCCTCACCCAATTACCCAAAGGACCTGCCAACATAAAGTAAGCGCCAACCTGGTGCAGAAAACAGCCCGAGGAAGGGGCACTGCTTGTGACCCCAGGTGATGTGCTTGCCTCTCTGGGCCTCCACATCCTCATCTTTAAATGGAGATGATGATGTTTGTCCTGCTGCCCCCACAGGGCTCCTGTGAGGCACCCATGAGGTGACAGGGTTAAAAGTGCTTGGGGGTAAGTGACAGCCCATACCCCAGCCTCCCGCTGCTGAGCTGACCTGGGGTCTTCATTCCAGGCTTGCCAGGCAGCGGGGTCCTCCCCACCCCTGAGCTTGGCACAGGGAAGCCCTCTAGGGAAGCCTTCTGCCTATGTCTCCAGACCACCGTGTGTCCCCATGGAGAAGAAATCTGGGGGTACGAGTCCCCTTTCTGACTCTCCCCCTTCCCCACCTCCTCCCCCACAACATGGCCCCTTATGGTGGAAATGAGCCATTTGTCTAAGGTCTAAGGTGGGGAGCGGAGGGGAGATGGCTTGCCCTAGACCCAAACCCCACGTCCATCACTCTGTTACGTGGTGGGAAGGGGGAGAATGGGGTGAAGGGACACAAATTTTCAGCCCTATCAGGGTCTAAGCCTCAGCCAACTCCCAAGGGGGTGGCAGGAAAATAATATAAAATAATAATAATAATAATAATAATAATCCATAGCTGGTGTAGACAGCCTGACAGTTCACGCAGAACTTTCAAATACATCCATTCATCCACTTGACCTTCCCAAAGACCTTGTGTAATGGGAAGGTGAGAGTTACCAAGCTCTGATGAGGTGCTAAGCACTATACAGGATGCTCTCCCTGAATCCTGCAACACTACTATGAAGGAGGTGTTTCTATTCGACCCACTTTACAGGTGAGGAGACTGAGGCTCAGAGAGGCTAATGACCCGATCTGCTCTGGGCCAGAGCCCAGGGGGCTTTACCGTACCCAGATGCGTTCTCCCCACTGCAGCCAGCTGCCTTGAGGAGGGACTAGAAGCTCACAGGCTCTGTCTCCCACAGACCCCCTTGATCACCTGGACCCTGGAGATCTCTGGATCCCCGAAGAGTCCAAAGGCTTCAAGGACATCCATGTGGAGCCCAGCATCTCCAGGTATAGAGATGGGTCTCTGCTAAAGCCCGGGCATGGGATGGAGGCTGGGGTCCTAGAACTAACTACAAATTTGAAGACAATTAGAGCATGAAAGGGCCTGGAGATGATTTGTCTGAACACCCCTCCAACCCGCCACTGTATGTTGGTATGGCCATGCCAGTTGTTAACATGTTGAAATTCTCTTTTTTTATACATAACTGCTGCTCCAAGCCTGCTGAATGCTCAGCCTCCCATTCCTCCCCCGGGCAGCCCTTGGACAGCCCACAGTTTAGCAACAATACAAGTTTAAGTATAAGACTGGGACCCCTAGCAGATACCCGCTCCTTTGGTAGGACCAGAATCAGCTCTGATTGGTTCATGCCTGTGTACTGGTGTTGAAATATTGTTAATGTAACCACAGAGTACACATGTGCACCCCCCCCCTCACTATACCATCACGAACAGCAGGTAACTGCTCCGCAAGGGAAGTGTTTAAATGTGTTCAGCAGGTGGATCCTGATTACAGGCTCCCCCAAGCCCACAAAGCCTCATGGTGCTGGGTGGGGAGCTATTCTAGGCCCCTGAGAGCTCCCAGTGTCTCCCTGTTCCTTCTCCGAGGGCAGACTTCAGTGTGCGGGCCACCCCAAGGCCTCCCTCATGTCCTCCTTGTGTCTCCAAGGAGTCTCTCCAAAGAGGACATGCCCTTCCCACCCACTTCCATCCTTCTCCTCCTGGCCTGCATCTTTCTCAGCAAGTTTCTAGCAGCCAGTGCCCTCTGGGCTGTGGCCTGGCGTGGGCAGAAACTGGCCAGTGAGCCGCACTGTGGCCATGACCCAGGTTACCAGCTCCAGACCCTAACAGGTGAGCATGAGGAGCACAGCGGTGGCTGGGGATGGACCGGGCAGGGGTGGCGAGGTGGGGCTCAGAGGAGCCATGTGAGCATCGGTCGGTTGCAGAGCGGAGAGACACATGAGAGAAGAGGACCCCCGATGGGACGAGGCCCAGGAGAGGCCTGCTGGAACCACCCCAGCCTGCACACTGGCCCCTTGGCCACCATGACTCCTGGTTCTGCTTTGGCAAAAGGGCAGCCTGCCCATCCTCTGCTTCCCCTGGTCCCGGACACAGAAGGGTGTGTGCGGGGGGGAAAGGAGGAGAACATTTGTCAACTTCTATGCACTGGGCATTAAATACTCTCCCAAATAAATCCAAGACTTCATGTTTAATCGGATGGTTTGGGGCTTTGGGAAGGCCTCTCTCTTGCTCCAGGGCTAGGAGAATGAATTTGGCCGAGGACGAGATGAAAGTTCTGACCCCTCGGGGCCTCAGGTCTTAGGCTATTGCATCCCGCCATTCTCGAAGGCTCCACGCCACCCATGTTTGTCTTCTTCTGGCTCCCTTCCCTAGATCTAATTACTGAATCCTGCCTCCTCCTCTGGGATTTCTCTAGCACCCAGTCTGGCTCCCTTCTCCTCCACTTGCCTCCTGTCCCTCAGGAACATTATTCTAGGATTATTGCTGCCCACCCCTGCCCCAGTCCATCTAACTCCCAGCTGACTCATCCACTCCCTTCCCCAGAACTTTGCTTTCCTCCTGTTACTTCCCCTACGGGCGAACAACCACAACTTGACTTATATAGTGCAGCATACCAGAGCCGGGAACCACTGGTCTGAACCTCTCACTACACAGAAGGGAAACTGAGGCTCAAAAGGGAATGATGTCACCCCAAGTCCCCAGGAGAGCTTGGAAGTGCAAATTTCGCTTGGTGTTCAAGTTGCACTTCCCTCTAGCTCAAGCCTACTCATTTATTCATTTATTTATTCAACAGATATTTTCTGTACCAGATACCATTCTAAGTGCTGGAGACACAACAGTGAACAAAACGGGCCAAGATTCCTGCCCACACAGAGCCACAGACTAGTGGGAGGGGAGGGAGACAGACACAATAAATGTCAGCCAGATGGTGTGTTAAAAGATAAAGAGCTGAGGGGGAGCCTGGGTGGCTCAGTCGGTTAGGCATCTGCCTTCGGCTCAGGCCATGATCCCAGGGTCCTGGGATTGAGCCCCACATTGGACTCCCTGCTCTGTGGGGAGCCTGCTTCTCCCTCTGCCTGCCCCTCCCCCTGCTTGTGCTCTCTCTCTCTCTCTCTCTCTCTGACAAATAAAATCTAAAAAAATAAAAAAATAAAGTGCTAAGGAGCAAATGACTAGGCAGACTGGGAGTGCAGAAGGAACAGGATGATGTCATGCTAGAGGGCATCAGAAGGAACCGCTGGAGAAGCCCTGGGAGGAGGTGAGGAAGTGAACCACGAGGATATTGGGACCTGAGGACTGGGGCAGAGGGACAGCCAGGGCGGCTCAGGAACTTCATCTCTTCCCCGAGCACAACACACCACCGCAGCCACGAGTGAGAGGGAGGGGATGGAGACTTGCCCAGGGAGGGCTGCAGGAAGAGGAGGAAATGAGGCACTCCCATCCTTGGCCTTGGCAAGGTGGAAGCCCAGGAGCCCCTGTGGCCAGGGCTTTGCCCCCTACGATGGGCATGGGCTCCTGGGGTTTTGGATCCTGTGGAAGGACCCCCGATGCAGCCCTCATGTCCAGCCTCATGTCTACACATCACTCCCTGGAGCCAGCCCAGCCCAGCCCTGCCCACTACCCAGAGAGGCTGTTGCACTGGCCCTGTCCCCAGCTCCGGGACGCTGGTCCAGGCTATGTGTCCCAGGTCCTCAGACTCAGCGGCATGTCAAGCTTCCTCATCAGGTCCTGGGCCCCCATCTCCTTCCTGCAGACCTGAAGCACACAGTCTAGCAGCCAGGGGTGAGCCTGTCCACCTGCTAGCACCAAGGCCGACAAGATGGCAGGGGACGGTCCCCTGTGTGCAGCACTGGAGAGCGCCTGCCGCTCGCCTGCTCTTGAGAGCTTGGCCTTTTCTCTTTCTTCCTCTGCCACATTTTGACGTCCCCCTCAGGGTTTGGATCGCCACTGGGATCCCCTGCCTTGGACTCTCTGGGGCGCACACGGGACTGAAGGGGGTCAGGTAATTTAGCTCCAAATTTGCCTCCTACTCAGAAACCTGAAGCAAGTTCCTTAACCCCTCTGAACCTCACCTATTAAAAAACAAAACAAACAAACAAATCAACCCTGTTTTTGCTGGGGTTTTGTGGGGTTGAAAGAAATACCATTAGTGAAAGTCCCAGGCCAGATGTTTGGTGCAGAGCAGGTCCCAGATGAACACTGGCTTCCTTCCTCTTCTCTAATACCCACAATCTGACACCTCCCTGCAGCCTGGTCACCTGCAAAGGGGTGGACTGTACCTGTTTCAGACACTTGGTTACATATTGAGGACAGGTCTCCTCTTCATGGCCCATTAGTGTAATAGCTTTCTCGTAAGGAAATCGAAGAAAACCTGATGCATATTGGCAGGACAAATATAAGCACTTCCACGTCACCCACGAGGCTTACCCACCTGTCCAGTTTGCCCAACACTTTGCCAGTGTAGCACCAAAAGTCTCATGTCCCCAGGAAAACTCACAGGGCCAGGCAGATGGGACAGCTGGTCACCCTCTCACCACTTCCAGCTTCACACACTGTCCGGCTTTCTTGGGCTCCTGTTACCAGTCCCCATTGGTAGCTCCCTTGCTCCTGAAGGAAGGAGAGAGGCAGAGGGAGAGGGAAGGAGGAGAGAACGGAGGGGAGAGGAAGGGGGGAGGGTGGTTTCTTTAGCCTATTTCTAGGTGTGATGTCTAGGTCAGGGGCAACGTGCCCCTTTCAGCCATCCCCACCTTGCCCGCCCTTGTCTTTCTGAACACCACTGTCCCAGGTCAGGAGGTTTATCACCCACATTTGGTGCAGGGTCCCCAAACCCCAGTTTTGCACAGGGCAATGTGAATGGGGGCCAGATGTTTTCTGTGCTGGCAGTGGGCTTGTGTCACGGGAGAGGAACCTCCAAGGATGAGGCTTGGAGTTTATATACAGCATCAGCCCATCTTCCTCTCTTGGGAGAGAGACACCTTTACTCTGGAAGGTAAACAGCTCTTCTCGAGGGAGGGGGTCGATCTGCCTAAGCAAGTCCCTCTGGAGCTGATACACTCTCTCTAGCGTTCAAGGCATGTTTGCTATTCAGTCACGCTAGAACAAAGCTTGATCAGTGCCCAGACCATGCAGAAATGTGAAAATATCCACGGAGAATTGTCTCCCAACAGACAGGCTAGTATATTCTTGAAACAAATATAATATGCTATAAGAAATATCTGGAGAATAAGAAACCTTATATTTGTAAAATTTTATATTTGTAAATTGAAAATACTAAGGAACTAAACACAAGACAATAATAGAAGGGATGGAAGAAAAAGATGAGGGTGTCTTCTTGAAATCAGAACAAAATGGACAAAAAGATGGAAAACAAGAGAGGAAAGATAGGAAAATGAGATGAATCCATGAAGTTCAGTAGCCAACTAGTTAAGGAGTTCCAGAAAACGGGGGAAGAGGAAATGGGGCATCATTATCAAAGGATGGATGCGGTTGCCAGAACTGGAGAACATGGGTGCACGCTGCCAAGTCTTGAGAGCACCCGGCACAGTGAATGAAGGCGGGTCCCGTCCAGGGCGCCTCGGAGTGGGGCCTCCTGCTGTGAGGTCGTGCAGCAGGACCGGACAGTCTCCTGAGAGCTCAGGCCTGTGTGCTCTGCCACCTTCCTCCTTCACACTTCTGCATCCTCCGATTTGATCTTTCGAAGACCCTGAGGATTCTCGTCCCTCTCTCTCTATTGCTTTCCAGTTATTGGGATCCTCCTCCCACCTCATCCCTTAGCCGGGCCCCAGGAGCCCAGGTTCTGCCTGTCCTTGGGCCTTCTCACCCTGCCTCGCCCACCCCTATTGACCCTCATGGTCAAGTTCCCAAGCACTGAATCAACCAGGCTTCGGAAGGGCACCTTATCCCCACCCACAGAGGGGCCCCCAGTGCCTGCCTCCCACCCCATGGCCTCCGAGAGCCCCACGTGACTGTCTGAGGCAGATGTTTCCTGCTCCCTGGGGAATGCTGTGTCAGTGGCCAGGCAAGCCCCAGAACCGACATCTGCCCGACCTGCCATGGGCCCCAACCTGCTACTGCTGTTGCTCCTGGGACTGGCAGGTAAGGTTAGAAGGAGGTGCACTCGGGGCCCCCTACACTCCACTCCAGGCCCAGGAATAACTGGCATTATCGAGGCAACAATAACATATGTAGGGCCCAGAAGGTGGACCTCTCCGTGCCTGTGCCCCTGTGGCAGTGGGTGGACTGGAAAGTTCCCGCAGCTCCTGCCCAGCCTTCCCATGTCCTTTCCTTCCCTAGGCCAGGGCTCAGCAGGCACCTTCCCGGAGGTGCTGCAGGCCCCTGTGGGGGGCTCCATTCTGGTGCAGTGCCACTATGGGCTCCAGGACATCAAGGCTCGGAAGGTGTGGTGCCGGGTCTTGCCAGAGGGGTGCCAGACCTTGGTGTCCTCGGCTGTGGATCGCAGAGCCTCCGGGAGCGAGCGCATGTTTCTCACCGACCTGGGGGGCGGCCTGCTCCAGGTGGAAATGATTACCCTGCGGAAGGAGGATGCCGGCGAGTATGGCTGCGTGGTGGAGGGGGCCACGGGGCCCCAGACGGTGCACAGAGTCGCTTTGGATGTGCTCCCTCCAGGTGAGTTCTCCTCGGCTGGCCATTGCCCCTCCCTGCCCCCACCGGCTGCTCTTGGGTCCTCGGAGGATGGGGATCCTTAGCGGGAGGAGGAATTGGGAGGAGATATTTTTGACAGCTCCCCAGGGACCGGAAACCAAACTGGGTGAGCAGTCTGAGATACAACAGCCAGACAGTGGGTCCCTCCCCCAACCCGCACCAGTGGGTCTCTCCACTGGAAGGCACATTCTCCTTCCTCACCCATGGCCTTGGCCTCCTCCTGCAGCATTTTCAACATACTTGATATTATTTTTTTCCCCCTTAGAAACATTTTAAACAGAGTTTTAATTTGGACATAGCAACCTGGAATTCCTTTTTTTTTAAAATCTTCCAGTTTATTACTCCTGTTATAATGGGTTTGATGGCTTAAAATGACCAAATCCGTGTTTCATTTAATTTTGTCTTCACTGAGCATCTAGTATGTGCCTCACCTTCAAGCAGGGTGCATTTGGTGCCTGAATTACTTCAACTCATTCTGTTTTAAAAAAAAGAGGAAAATGTCACTAATAGATATCAGTATTGTCAACCCTATTTTGAGTATAGAAAGTACTTTATTTTGATAGGCTGTGGTTTTCTCTCACAGGCTACAACTTTCTAATGTCTAAGCATTTATTAAAAGACAATCTTAAAGTAGAAGAAGAAATTTTCCAGAAAAATTGGATGTTGTAAAAAAAAAAATGTTCTGGAGGGAAAATGGCCAGGTTGCCTGCAGAAGTGGAGACTGCTACTACCTTTCTTTTATGGATGATGAGTCTTTCATTTTCAGGTCTTTCTCAAGTAATTTGTGCCCAATCCCCAAATCAGGAAATGAAGAAAGGCCTTTTTCCTCTTCTTGGTTTTTCCCCCATTTGTTAATTACTAGGTGGACTAAGTTGTCATTACAATCCCTCTCATCTCTGGTCCATGATCATTATTTTATGTCATCCTCTGTCCTCCTCCTTCCCCGACACTCTAAGGTCTAGTAACTCCAGCTCGTAGGACAGGATGCACTGGAGAGAGGGGCAGGTGCTGGGGGCCCAATAGCTGTAGAGGATGGATGTAGAGGATGCTCAGGCTGGCTGGTGGAGTGTGGCTTTCAGGGAGGATACGAGTGGCTTAGAAGGCACCAGGAGGGCAGGATATAGGCAGGCAAGAGGGGAGAAACAGCATCTCCAGATCCTGGTTTGGCTTAAGGTGGGAGGTAGGAACGATGAGCCTCTGAGAACAAGGAAGACCCCTATCCTGAGAGTCTAGAAGGACTGGCCAGGTTCCCAAGACAGATCCTCAGGCCCAACCCTGAGTCCCACAGCCAGAAGTTGAGCATGTTGCAGGGATGATGGAAGCGTTGTCACGAAACAAAGACTTGGGGTCTGAGCAAGGCTCTCAGCAAGGATCACTTGGATTGTTTCACATTAGGGGTGACCCTAGAATTCCTTAGATCCTGAGGGCAGAGCTTCAGATGGGCTCAACCAGCCTGCAGGGGGGGGTCACATGGTTGCAGGTATATGGAGAGGTCTAGCAGGCTGTGCTGAGGTCCCTTTAGAAACCAATCAATAAGCACCAGGAGCAAGGTTGCCACTGAGGACAAGAGTGGAGAACCTATTTGGGGCAGTGTGGGGGAGCAGGTGAAGAAGGAAGGCGGGGCAAGGGTTGGGAGCTGGTGGTGGAGGGGAAAATGGGCCTGGTCACAACCAGGTAAATATGGAAAAAGCCCATCCCTGATCTCCAGAATTAGGGCCCCTGAGGAATATGCCAAGCCCACATTAGTGTTTCTCACTTGGAATCTCTCCTTCCTCAGACCCACTCCCCCTAGTCCCTCAGATCTTAACGGGCCTGTGACCCTGCCCACCATGGATGGCTATGTGCTCATTAATATTTCCTTCTGACTCAGCTCCTAGCCTGAAAGAGGAGGAGACCTATAAGGTTGGGAGTCTGGCTGATGGCCCCTCCTCAGACACTGTGGATAGTGCCAGCCCTTTGGAACCCAGCCAGGATAAGAGGTACTGACAAGAGCTGTATTCGGTGGCTGGGAAAAGGGTGGTGGTGGGAAAGGGGGTGAAAGATTGTTCAGAGCCCCAGGCTAACTCAAGGGGAAACCTTATGGTTCCTTCCACCCCTGGGGAACTTCTGATCAGGCAGGAAGTCAGGCAGACCTGCCTGTCTATCCCAGTTCAGCAATGACCCTTTATCTCAGTGGTCTCCAGCCAGGATACCCTGGTAATGTGTTTCTCCTTCTGCCCTGCCTGAGTATGCCCTCCTCATTCCATCCCTCAAATCCTCTTCTTGCAACCATGGCTCACCAAGAACAACACCCTTCTCCACCGCTCCGGGGTTCCTGGTGAGCAGCTTCCTGCCAGGTTCAGGCCTGAGCTCACCTACACCTTTATGTCCTTCAGCATCCCCTTGATCTGGGGCGCCGTGCTCCTGCTGAGCCTGCTGGTGGCGGCAGTGGTGCTGTTTGCTGTGATGGCCAAGAGGAAAGGTAGGTAGCTGTCCACCCGCCCACCCCAGGATAGCCCCACTGGTCGTGTACCAGCTGGTCTTGTAGACAATGCCGGACTCAGTCTGTGTCCCCTATAGATGGGCTTGTCTAGGCTTTAATAAGGCCCTCGGGTCCTAGAAGTTCCCAGACGAGGGGTGGACGGGAAGAAGGAGATTCAGTGGGAGCTGTCCTGGGGACAGACAGGAATTGGACAGGGTAGGCAGTGGGATAGACAGGTGACTGGAGGAGGTGAGGGAAGGGATTCAGTAGACAGGCTGAGTGTTGAGGCAGGATGAAGGGAGTTGGAAGCAGTAAGTGGGTGGGAGGCTCCTGGCAGGCTGGGGCAGAACTGGGGAGGCAGTGGGTAAGGTTTGCTGGCAGGAGTGGGATGAAGGGTCTGGACCAGGAATGAGGCTTCAGGGACTACTGAAGGTAGTGAGGGGATGGGCCCTGAACCAGAACGGGAAGCAGACTGTGGTGTCATCCTCTGTCTTTCCAGGGAACAGGCTTGGTGTCCGTGGCCAACCTCAGAGCAGTGGCATTCCAGGCATGGTAAGAGGCCTCTGCAGGCCCCCAGCCAAACTCCCCAGACCTTCCATTGGTCCAGCTCACTGAGAGGTCCCAGGATAAGGGGGTAGAAAAAGACTGGGGCCCAGTCAGGGTCCATACCCTCTTCCTAAATGCTGTAAACTTGGCACCAGTTGTCTTCCACCTTCCCACCTTGGTATTTCACCCTCCCCGATTTGGGGAGAAAGGGCTTAAAAATCTTCAAAGGGAAGCCCTCTTGCCCACTGACATACTGAGGATTTGAGAGACAGATCCAGTGTGGTCCTGGGCTTCCCCCCCAAAGGGAACTGGGGCAGAAGGGGCATTTTCTCTCTGCCTCACTCACCTGTTTTTGTTACAGGCCACCTCCTCAGTGGTCCACCATATCAGCGACTCTGGACTGGGACTTGATTTGCCATCGGACATTCCATATGCTAGGCTCGACTCACCACCTTCCTTTGACAATACCACCTACAGCGTACCTCTTGATCCCCCATCAGAGAAATCCCCACCCCCAGCCCAATCCTCATCGCCCCCTCTGCCTCCTAAGGTCCTAACGTGCTCCAAGCCTGTGACATATGCCACAGTCATCTTCCCTGGAAGGGGCAAGGTTGGAGGGGCCTCCCGTGAGCCAGCCCAGGATCCACTGAATGGCCAAATGCCACCCAGCTAAGCCGTCCATCATACCGTACACTCACGGAGACCATCCCCAGAACTCTGTGCATCCATCCAGCCAGCCCATGCCCTAGACCCTTATGATATCAGAGCAGCTAGGGACTTTAGGTTCTAATCTAACATCTTGCATTTCTGACCTGGAAAGTGAGACTTAAATGTGACTGAGGTGTCTTGGGAGTCCCCCATGCTTGTTCCTCTGCCATTTTACTACTGAGCTAAATAAACTCTGATTGGTAATATATGAGCTCTTGATGTTTGAGGGGGAAGGAAAGGGCCTGAGTTTGACTATTCCCATGGCCTGGGAACTGAAGATTCTGGTCCAGAGTTTGTGCTGCATGATCTGGCGCCTGTTCTGCCTGTAGGGATATGGTTTCATTCTCTGGTCAGAATACTGTGATGCAGTTTGATTCGAGGGGCACTAAGAACACTTCTTCAAAAGTATTTCCTGCCTTTCTCATGGTACCTAAATTATAGATCCATTAGCTTAAGTCTAGAGATCTCTTCTGCCTTCTGCTCTGCACCTTGTAAACAAGCGGCATCTTCTGATGTGACAACATATGACGGGAGGAAGGGAATAATGTGAGTGAAAGGAGACTCAGGACAGACAGAGTGAGAGAGATGGAGCTGAAAAGAAATAGGAGTGATGTTAAGGGAACAAACTGAGGGTTGCTAGAGGGGAGGTCAGTGGGATGGGGTAACTGGATGATGGGCATTAAGGAGGGCACTTGAACTAATGAGCACTGGGTGTTATATGCAACTGATGAATCACTAGTCTATCCTTGAAACTAATAATACACTATATGTTAACTATATTGAATTTAAATAAAAAATAAAAAAAATCGGAGTAAGATCAGAAATTGAAATAAATCCCAAGCCTATTCCTTGGCAGGACCAAGGATTTTTAAGCACCAGGAGATAAAAGACCTCTGCAGACATGTTTTATCAGAGCTGGCTCTCAACTGGGCGGACATTTGGTAGCACTGTACTCTTTGGCCTGAAATCTGGAGGCTGGAAATAGCCCAGTGGAGAAAAGGCATGGCATGGGAAGAAGGTGAATGAATGGTAAAGGTGTGGCCATTGTCAAATGTAAATGAAAGCTAGTCCAGGCTGGGGGTGGAAGAGCCTTTAAGGTCTCTGCCAGGATTTCTTCTGAAACTGTTCAATTTGAAACTCTTTGCCCATATTGAGATGACAGACAGATGGAGAGGATGAGGTGCTCAGGAACCTCTTCTTCTTACAATCACGGAGAGCTAGGCATAAAGTGGTTTTCACCATCTGGAGAGGCCCTGAGTTTGGTCTAGGTACCTGAGAAAGGACAGGCAGGGTGTGTACCCTGGGCTCCAGCTGGGTAGGTCTAGTGATGCTATTTTCAGGGAACTCTGGCAGGATGTTCTGAGCCTCCCCTGATAGAGTCTCAGCCTGTGACAGAACATAAATTTACTTCTGTCCCTTGTGGAGACAGCAGCTGCCCACCAATCAACTAAGCCCTCATTTTCCCTGGCTAAGATAACTAGGGACTTGCCTGCTGGGGAGGAGAGGCAATGAGGGTAGGGAGAGAATGTGGGGGAAGGGCAGAATAAAGTCTAAAAAGAACCCCTCTGGGAAAAAGTTACTCTGGTCTGAATGTAGTCTGAACTTTTTATAGCCTGACAGAAGTAAAAGTATATTTAACAACACAAAGGAAAATACTAAGATCAATTGGCTGGTAGAGAAGAGGGAAGGAGGAAAGGGAAATATATTAATTCCATCATTGCTCATGGTAGAAGTCTATGAATACCAACCAGAATCTCACTTATAACAGTAACTTCTGAGATGAAAATACAGATCTTCTAAATTTTATCATAAGAAACATATGAAAACAAAGCAAAGAAAATTCAGGTGACATGACAAGGCCATTGCTTCCTATCAGAACCTTTGGAATGCAGCTAAAGCAGTTCTCAGAGGAAAAGTCACACCCTCAACAACAAGAATTAAGCATCTTACTCAAACTGCTAGTTCATTTGAAAGAAGGAAAATTATATAACTAATACATAAATAAAAGAGCTTGTTCTTTGAAATGAAATGAAATAAAGGAGACAAAGTGTTAGCTATTAACTTAAAAAGAAGAATGAAATAAGAAATGACCAGGGGAAAATAATCACAGATATAAAGACAATGAAAAAAACGAGAGTATTTTGTGCTCATGGTGGTGGTTGGGGTGGGGGTAATGAATGTAGAGAAGGCTGAAATAAGTTTTTGGGGTGACTGAAATGTTTTCTATCATGACTGTGGTAGTGGTTACCTGGGTGTATATATTTGTCAAAGCCCATCATTAAAATAGGTGCACTTTCAGGGCACCTGGGTGGCTCAGTCGGTTAAGCATCTGCCTTCGGCTCAGGCCATGATCCCAGGGTCCTGGGATCGAGCCCTGCATTGGGCTCCCTGGATTGGCAGGAAGCCTGCTTCTCCCTCTCCTGCTTCCTCTGCTTGTGTTTCCTCTCTCATTGTGTCTCTGTCAAATAAATAAATAAAATCTTTAAAAAAAATAGGTGCACTTTCTTGTATGTAAATTCTGTTTTGATAAAGTTGATTTTTCAAAAATACTTGAAAGACCATGTGGGAATAGTTAAAATAATCTTAGAGAGGAAAATGCTCTTTAAATTATACAAAACTCAGAAGCCATAAAAGAATTCATTGATATATTTAAACTGATACATTAAAATAAGAAAAGACTGATATCTTTTTCTCCATGACAAAAGCACAACTCATACAAAGGCAGAGAGCTCAGTAGGGGTTACTACAAATAAATTAGAAAACAAATACTTAATAGGATATATAGATATAGCTCACAAAATAGGAAATATAAACATAGTAAAGATGTTTAACTTCATCTAAGGGAAATGCAAATTAAAAGTACATTGAGAATGATTTAAAAGAAAATGCTTAAAGAACTCAGAAAATTCTTCCCCCCCGCCTAATATTTATTTAAATTCTAGTTAGTTAATGTATAGTGTAATATTGGTTTCAGAAGCAGAATTTAGTGATTCATCACTTACATAATAACACCTGGTGCTCATCATAACAAGTGCCCTCCTTAAATTCTCTCTTCAAGGGTGCCTGGGTAGCTCAGTTGGTTAAGCATCCCATTCTTGATTTCACCTCAGGTCATGATTTCAGGGTCCTGAGATTGAGCCCTGCATTGGGCTCTGCACTGAGCATGGAACCTGCTTAAGATTCTCTTTCTCCTTCTCTCTCTGCCTCTACCCTCCCTCTGCTCACTCTCTTTCTCTATAAAAAAATTCCCTGTTCCATAAAAACAACAAGAAAACTGGCAAAAATAGCCAGAATCAACTTTTTTAGAACTCTGGAAACCAATGGCTTGCATCATCCCCAGGAGTCTTTACTTAAGAAAATTGGCTTGGGGTGCCTGGGTGGCTCAGTCATTAAGCATCTGCCTTCGGCTCAGGTCATGATCCCAGGGTCCTGGGATCGAGCCCTGCATCGGGCTCCCTGCTCCGCGGGAAGCCTGCTTCTCCCTCTCCCACTCCCCCTGCTTGTGTTCCTTCTCTCACTGTCTCTCTCTGTCAAATAAATTAAAAAAAAAAAAAAAAAGAAAAAGAAAATTGGCTTTCCCTCCCTTGTATCTCATTTAAAACACAACTTCATAAAGCAGTATTTACATATCTGTGTTGACAGGCACACCATGTATTAAGATGTAACTTTTATGACATTTATAATACGAAAGAGTGGGGAGGGAATGGAGCTATATAGGATCAAAGTTTTCCTACACTGTTGAAATTAAATTGGTATAAATGTGAACTGGATTGTTTTAAATTAAAATGCTAATTGTAATTCCTACAGCAAGAGAAAAACCCTCAAAAACATAGTAAAAGAAATGGCAAGGGAATTAAAACTAAATTTAAATTGTGTATTTAATATAATGAAAGACAGTGGAGAAAGACAGGGGAAACGAGACATAAGACAGAAATCAAATAATAAGATGACAGACATAAATCCTATCTTATCAGTAATTACACTGAATGTAAATGAACATTCCAATTAAAAGGCAGAGATTGGCAGAATGTATTAAAAAACTCATGATCCAACTACATGTTTCCTACAAGAGACAAACTTGAGATTCAAAAACACAAGTAGGTTCAAAGTAATAGGATGGAAAAACATGTATCACGCAAACTAAAGAGAGGTGGAGTGGCTATATTAAGACAAAAGGACATTTTATAATGGTAAAAGAGTAAATCCATCAAGAAGATATAACAACTATAAATATACATGTACCTAACAACAGCATTTCAAAATACATAAAGCAAAATTGATCGAACTGAAGGGAGAAACAGACAAACAGTAGTAGCTGTAGACTTCAATATCCCACTTTCAATAATAGGCAGAAGAAGGTAGGTAGGTGGAAGATCAGCAAGGAAATAGTAGACATGAACAACGCTATAAAAACTAACTAGACTTAACAGACATCTGTAGAACACTCCACCCAACAACAGCAAAATACAATACACATTCTTCTCAAGTATACATGTAACATTCTCCAGGACAGATTATATATCTGACCATAAACAAGTTCTTAATAAATTTAAAAGGATTGAAATCATACAAAGTATGCTTTCTGACTATAATGGAATTAAATTAGAAATAACAGAAAAAATTTTGGAAACTAACAAGTATGTGGAAATTAAACAACACACTTCTAAATAACAAACAGGTCAAAGAAGAAATCACGAGAGAAATTATAAATACTTTGAGAGGAATGAAAACAAAAACATAACAGAGCAAAACGGGATTCAGCAAAGCCTGTGCTTAGAGGGAAATTTAATTTATAGCTGTAAACACCTTATATTAAAAGAGAATAAAAATCTCAAATCAACAACCTAACTTTCCACCTGAAGAAACTAGAAACAGAAGATCAGACTAAACCCAAAGCAAGCAGAAGGAAGGAAATAAGAGATTAGAGAAGAAATGAATGAAATAGAGAACAGAAAAAGAGCGAAAAAAAAAATCAGCAAAACCAAGTGTTGGTTCTTTGAAAAGATCAAGAAAATTGACAAATCTTAGCTAAGGTTACTTTCTTAGCCAAAAAAACAAAGAGAAGACTCATATTACTAAATGAGGAATGAAAGTAGAGGGAGCACTAGGAGATTAGAAGGATTATAAGGAAAATTGTGGACAATTCTGTATCATCAAAATAGATAACCTAGATGAAATGGACAAATTCCTAGAAAGACACAAAC